TTGTGTACCTATACTGATAGGGTGGGTGCTAATAATCAAACTCGGCTCTTCTGAAAGAGCAGGACTCTTAACTGCTGAGCCAGCTATCCAGCCAGGAGTTCTTTTTTGTTGTTTTTGCTTTGTTTTTTGGGGACAAGGATTCTCTGTGTAGCCCTGGCTGTCCTGTACTCACTCTGTAGATCAGGCTGGCCTCTGCCTTCCAGGTGCTGGGATTAAAGGTATGTGCCACCATTGCCTGGCCCAAAATTCTTCCTAAAAATCCTTTTTGAGACAGTGTCTTCACTATGTAACTCTGACTGGCTTGGAATTTGTTATGTATGTCAAAATTACCTCAAATTCACAGAAGTCTGCCTGCCTCTGCCTCCAAGTGCTGGGATTAAAGGCGTGTGCCGCCATGTCCAGCTATGGTTTATTTTTAAGACAGAATCTCAAACTGTAGCTCAGGTTTGCCTAGAACTCACTGTGTAGCCCAGACTTCAGCCTGGCCTTCAACTCAGGCAATCCTCCTCAGCCTCCCAGTGTTGTGATTATAGGTTTATACTCTGCAAGTCATTTATTCATGTATAAACTTATGATTTGCTGCCTTATCCCAGTAACTGTGTTAGGCAGCTCTAAAGTGATATTTTGACATTCTAATAGTGCTAGTTACAGTTAAGAAGTAGCTGTACGTGTATGAAGAAGTGACTCAGGTATAACAAGGTTTTATGAAATAGAGCAGTTAAGTACTCCCACTCCCCCAGACAGGGTTTCTCTGTGTAGACCTGGCCATCCTGAAACTTAACTATGTAGACCAGGCTGGCCTCGAACTCAGAGATCTGCCTTCCTCTGCCTCCCAAGTGCTGGGATTAAAGATGTGCACCACCACGCCCAGCAAAGGCCCCATTTTTTATCTTTTCATGCATAAAGTATAGACTAAACCCAAGTTTTTCCTTAGTTAACCTGCATCCTAGGAAAAATTCTTCCTTTGCTCTCTTCTTTTTATGTGTCCTGATGAAAAATAAATTTAAAATCAATATACTTAGATCATAAATTATTTTAAAGAGCACTGAGATTTTTATTTCATCTGGGAATTCTTGGTCAAAGAAAGTAAAACTGGTTCATACATTGCTTTGAAGACAAGGTGACTACTTAAGTATTTTTGACTCCTTGAGTGACTCAGCTTCACTTCAGTTTGAGAGAGATTTCCTTCTATTTTGTTGCTTTCGAGACAGGGTCCAGATGTAACCCAGGACTGCCTGTACCTCTGGATGCCTCTGTCTCCACCCACCAGGGCTGGGGTACCAGGCTTGTGCCACATCTGGCTAGACTTTTCAGTTTCTTTAGAGGACCTAGTACAATGGGAAGAACAGTCTTTGGAGTCATTCTCCTTTGCTGCTTTTGTTATTTGAGATAGGGTATCTTATAGCCCAGGCTGGCCAGGGTCTCATGTAACCCAGATTAACCTTATGTAGTTGGGATGACCTTAAACTTCTGATCCTCCTCTCTTCACCTCCTGTTAGTATTTCAAGTGTGTACCATTTGCTGGCTTATATTGTGCTGGGGATCAAACCCAGAGCATTGTATATGGCACTTTTATATAGCACTCTACCAACCAGGTTGCATTCTAGCCTTTACTTTTGCTTCTTGCTTGCTTTTTTGCTCATTTGTTCTTGAGACAGGTCTTACTATGTAACCCTGACTGGCCTTGAACTTGCCACTCTCCTGCTTTAGCTTTCTAAATGCTGGCATTACTTGTATGCACCACCAAACTATTTCTTGCCTTTGACCCTGGGCAAGTTGTGTGTATGTGTGTACATATGCATATGTATGCATGTTCATGTGTGTATATGTGGGTATGGAGGCCAGAGGTCAACCTTGGGTATCTTTTTTTTAGGTTCTGTCCACCTTGTTTTTTGAGATAGGGTCTCTCACTGGCCTTGAACTTCCTTAAGTAGGGTAAGTTGATGGCTAGCAAGACCTGGGGATCCTCTTCTTTCTGCCTCCCAGTTCTGGGATTACAATCACATGATACCATACCTAGGGTTTATATGTGGGTTCTGGTGATAAAACTCATGTCTTCATGTTTGCACATCAAGCCCTTTACTCTTAACCTCTCTAACCTTTATGGGTTGTAGGGCGAATGGAGATACAGGCATATCAGATGACCAGTGTTGGCTCTTAATAAAGGAAGTGTGTATTACAGAACAGGGGCTGCTGCCATACCACCTCCTCCCCTGCCTCCTTGTCTGCCTCCTTGGCTTTTTCCTTTTGAGCAGGTTCACACTCTAGCCTAGACTCGCTTTGAACTTGCAGCAGTTCACTTGCTTCATCTTCTTGGATGTTCAATTGCAGGTGTCAGCCACTGTACCTGAACTCAGGAGCTGCTATCCTAAGTAATAGTAGTAAAATGTAGCTAGGTGCTTTGTAGAAGTGAGGGACTCAGTTACCTGGTCTGATGTGGAAGGCAAGAACTGTCCAGTGTGCATCTGCTGGT